GGGGGCAAGGGAGGGGGTTTAAGGGGCGGGGATGGGGTTTGGAGCTAGGGCTTAGGGTTTGGGGTTTGCAGCTAGGGTTTAGGGTTTGCAGCTAGGGTTTAGGGTTTGGAGCTAGGGTTTACGGTTTGCAGCTAGGGTTTAGGGTTTGAAACTGAGAGTCATAAACCGAATTTATTTTTTTAATTTGCGTTCAGCTTTTCCACAGCAGTTGAAGTTGAGGTGTACGTACACCCCACAAGTTGAGGTGTACGTACACCCCACCGCCGTGGGCGCTCACTTCATTTCTTTCTTCCGCCGGCTTGTGCTGCTCCTGGTTGCTGATGTACTGCAGCAAAAGAAAAAGAATTAATTTATTTCAGAATTAATTTATTTTAGAATTAATTTGTTTTAGAATTTGTTTATTTTAGAATTAATTTATTTCATTTAAATAAACTTTTGCGAATCTGAGCTGCTCATTTGCAAACAGCATCCGCCGCTTTGCGACAGTGCGCGTTCCGGTGTATGTACAGCAGCAGCAGCAGCAGCAGCAGCTGCAGCTGCAGCAGCAGCTGCAGCAGCAGCTGCAGCAGCAGCAGCAGCTGCAGCAGCAGCAGCTGCAGCAGCAGCTGCGGCAGCAGCTGCAGCAGCAGCAGCAGCAGCAGCAGCAGCAGCAGCTGCAGCAGCTGCAGCAGCAGCTGCAGCAGCAGCAGCAGAGCTGCTGCTCCTCCTCGAGGCCTCACTTCTTCTTCCAGCAGCAAATAGTCTTTTACGCGCTCCAACTTCAGCAGGCGCATGCGGCACTTCGTGACGGGAGTCACTGCAGCAGCAGCAGCAGCAGCAGCAGCAGCAGCAGCAGCAGCAGCAGCGAGAAACGAAGCAAATCAAGAAAACAGATGCAGCACTTTAAACTCAACACAAAGTAAACACCAGACTACACAAGGCACAGACAAACGACCCTGCAGCCGTCGCTGCTGCTGCTGCTGCCGCCGCCGCTGCTGCTGCTGCTGCTGCTGCTGCTGCTGCTGCTGCTGCTGCTGCTGCTGCTGCTGCTGCTGCTGCTGATGACACCGTTTGGCAGCTTGGAAGCGCCCATGGCCCCCTTGGGCTTTTTGCGGCGGCCCACGTGGGAGGGCGGGGCGGCTTCCAAAGGCTTCTTTTCTTTCTTTTTGTCTTTTTTGTCATCTGAGACAACAAAGACACAAATGCTTAATAAATATATAATATAAAATATATATAATATATATAATATAAATATATTATATATATAATATATATAATATAGTAATAAAAAATATATATAACATATATGTATATAATATAGCAATATAAAAAATATATTATATTATATATATATAATATAGTAATATAAAATATATATAATATATATATAATATAGTAATATAAAATATATATAGTATATATATGATATGGTAATAAAAAAGGACTTTTAAAAGTCTTCAAACTTGCAAATAAATGCATTTATAAAAGCCTTAAGACAGAAATAAAAAGACATTTATTAAGGCCTTAAGCAGCAAATAAAAAGACATTTATAAATGCTTTAAGACAGAAATAAAAAGGCATTTATAAAGACATTTGGAAGCAAATAAAAAGACAAAATGAAGATCTTTAGACAGAAACAAAAAGACATTTATTAAGATCTTTAGAGAGAAATAAAAAGACAAAATGAAGATCTTTAGAGAGAAACAAAAAAGTGTTTGTGAAGATCTTTAGAGAGAAATAAAAAGCGCTTTTAGGGACTTCCTTTGCATGCGCAGACACCTGAGTTGCGGTGTACGTACACCTGAACTCGGCGCTGCGCAGCAAACTGGAAATGCGAATTTAACTGCAGCAGCAAAAGAGTTTAACTGCAGCAGCAAAATAATTCAGCAGCAGCAGCAAAACAATTTGACTGCAGCAGCAAAAGAGTTTAACAGCAGCAGCAAAAGAATTAAACTGCCGAAAGAATTCCTTAAGTGGCTTTGGGCCGCAGCCGCTGCGGTGTACGTACACCTCAGGCCTACCGTTTCCCCCCGGGTGTCCAGGCAGGTTAAAGCCGCCGTGGGCATTTCCCATTTTGTTTGAAAGCGGGAGCAGCAAAGCTGCTGCTGCTGCTGCTGCTGCTGCTGCTGCTGCTGCTGCTGCAGCTCGAGGACTGCTGCTGCTGCTGCTGCTGCTGCAGCAAGAAATGCGTTTTGCTGCGCCAAAAAGACCTTCTTGAATAGACTTAAGGACTGCGGCTGGGAGTTGGCGAGTCAAGCCTGGCCCCCGAGAGAGCCGCCGCCGGAGTCTTCCCGTTGCTGCTGCTGCTGCTGCTGCTGCTGCTGCTGCTGCTGCACTGACGCTGCAGCCACCTTCGTAGACTTCTCAGCGCCTAAACAGTGAATTAATTCTACAGCAAGTTAGACAGACGCAGGCTGCTGCTGCTGCTGCGCTGCGGTCTTTCCAGCCCCCCGACTGGCACACCTGCAGCAGGGCTGCTGCCGACAGCTGGTGCATGCAGCAGCAGCAGCAGCAGCAGCAGCAGCAGCAGCAGCAGGTGGCAGCAAGGGCCGGCGCTGCAGTGCTGTTTTCAAAAAGCTTCTTTTCTCTTTTGCTTCCTCCAGAAGAATTCGAAAGCCCCCGCGAAGCCGCAGCAGCAGAGGCAGCAGCGCAGTTGGCTGCAGGAGGCAGCAAAGGGCTGTCAGTTAATTCTCGAAGTTCTTCAAATCGAAAAACTTGAAATAAAATTGGAAAAGAAGTTTTCGCATTTGTGCAGAGCTGCAGCTGCAGCTGAACTCTCTCTGCGCAGCGGCGGGCGGCGCCGCCAGCCCCGCCGAGGATGGAGCGCCGCTTTGCGAAGTTTGAGTGAATTAAAAAGCCAAAAAGGAGAATAAAACGAAAAATAATGAAAGAAGTGTCCGGGAAAACTTGAATTGTCCGCAACAAACTCAGATCCAAGTCGGAACGGCCCAAGATGGAGTGGTTCCGGCGGTCCTGTCAGCGCCTCTTCGCGACGTCTTATGCCAAAAGTTCTTACCACGAAGGCAAAATCGACCCTTTTGCAAATGTCCAATGGTAAATAAGTGGCGAATTCCGGCAAAGCCGACCCTTTTGCAGATGTTCAGTGGCAAATAAGTGGCGGATTCCCTCGGATCTCGCGCAGGGGTGGCTGCGCAGTTCGGGAGGTGTACGTACACCCCAGCTGCGGCGCAGTCCTGCGTGCGCTCCGCTTGCAGGATTGCGCGGCCATTTATGAAAAGAAATATGCCGAAAGATCACATTTTGGCGAAGCCGCACAGAAGTTTGAAAGCAGTCACCATGTTGGACGAGGAAACGCGAAACCACTGGCACGTTCTGGACGCCAAGGGCAAGGCGAGTCGTTCAACTTGCAAGTTTCAGCTTTCCGACGCGATCTGCAGAGTTTCGCCGCTCAATCTGTTTGAACTTTTCCTTAAATGTCTTTTTTTAAATTATTATTCGCTTTCGAGGGCTTTTGAGGCTCCAGTTTGTCCGGAGTTCAAGTTCAGACTCCCGCGCCGCAGCCTGCGTCGGGAGGCTGCTGCAGATGTCCCGCGTCGTTTTTTTCGCTTTTTTGAATTTGTTTCGATTTTCTTTTCTTCTTATTTTCTTCTTTTCTTTTTATTTTATTCTTTTCATTTTATTTTATTCTTTCCATTTCCTTTTCTTCTTTTCTTTCTTTTTTCTTTTCAGAGCGTTGGAGGCCTCGCAGCCCAAATTTCGCGGCTGCTGCAGGGAAAGCACCGCGTGGACTATTCGCCTTTGAAGGTTTCGGGCGACTCCGTGGTGGTGGTGAATGCAATTCACGTCAAGTTTTCGGGACACACTTGGGACACGAAGATCTACAGATTTCCCAGAAAGAGTGAGGCATTTGCATGCGCTTCTGCTGCTGCTGCTGCTGCTGCTGCTGCTGCTGCTGCTGCTGCTGCTGCTGCTGCTGCTGCTGCTGCTGCTCAGTTTTGGTGCTGCCTTCTTGTTGCTGCTGCAGCGCACCCGCGAGGCCCCAAAGTGGTGACGGCAAAAACAATAATGGCCCGAAACCCTTCGATGATAGTGAGTGGGGCCTTGGGGTGTACGTACACCGCAGCAGCCCGGGCGCGAGCTGCTGCCTTCACTTTCATTTCCTTTTCATTTCTTTTTCATTTCCTTTTCATTTCTTTTCTTTTTCATTTCTTTTCTTCTTCATTTCTTTCATTTCTTTTTTCTTGGTGGCCGCAGATCAACCTCGCCGTCAAACGCATGCTGCCCAACAACCGCCTCAGACAGCTCTTCTACAGGTGGGCCACCAGTGGACCACCAGTGGACCACTGGCCGCTGACCAGTGGTCCACTGGACCAGTGGCCAGTGGACCGCTGGGCCAGTGGGGCAGTCCTGGGTTTTCAGATGTAGTAGATTAAGGAGCCTTTCTTGGCCCCCACCTAACGTCTAATATATAATAATGTAATGCATATATGTACATCTATATCTGTATTTATATAGGTATATATATATATGTCTATATATATATATATATGGATATATATATGTATATATATATATATATATATATATATTAT